CCAAAAAAATTAGCTCATGCTACTGGGAGAGTTTAACAATTGCTTTAGTGTCGCCCAGAGACCTGTAATAAAGGATTATGGTATCAAAATGATCATTCGATGCCACGCCATGATAAGCGTGTTTGATCGGCCATAATGAAATTTTGAACATACACAATACTAATGCAGTAGGTCTTTTGATGCTTCTCAAATTCACTAGCACAGAGGATGCTGGAGTATAAGAAGCAGTCTAAATGAATATGCTCCAAATTAGCTAAAAGATACAGACGGTACTTATGATTGTGTATCAGAACCCAACTGGGGTAAGCACATCGATATAAAGGAGTATGATAGCCAACTTTGCATTTAACAACTTAATCTGGTGTTCGGATGCTAGGTGGGGTGGACGATCACAATTGTTTGCTGTGGATCGAATAAAGGCCAAATACGAAATCGATGTTGGCTGGTGATTGATGGCAAGGGAAAATAATCTGCGATTAAATATGACCAGGATTGTCTGTGCTTGAAGACATAAGGGAATTTAGTACATGTTGTCTCACAACATAAAAGGCATCCTGTGGTGAGACGTGAAAGTCCATCTTTTCTTAAATCAACTTTATCTAAATCTAAGTTTTAATGTAAGAATTAAAAGAATATATAATTGAAAAATATGGGATGTATTCACCCTATTTTTTCATAATCGTATGAATGGAGCTGACGTTTCCCTTGAATTTCACATAGCCTTGCTTTCCCAACAGGTGTCCTCATCCAGTGTGAGCGGCAGTTCCGACCTCGCCTTGGTCATGTCAACACAACTAGCGGGAGTCGGATCATCACAGCGCAGCGTGTAATTTCGTCACTTTAACATTCTGTCATATAATTAACGTCAGCTCAACTCATATCATTGTGGGAAAATTCTACTAACAGTCCTTCATCACCTTAGACGAAATAGTGAGTACATCTCATTACACTGATTTACTGGTAGTCTCGAAACCCTACTCTAATACGAATATAAGTAACGTCGTCGATTGCTATAGCAAACATACATTTGCTTCATCGGAACTCCCACCAAAAGAATATGATACAGCAGAGGCCTGACCTTCCTTGAAATTCACTTATGCCCTGTGACTC